GAAAAAAATAACAACTACACTCCAGGGGCAAGAGAAAGAAATGAAATGAAGGTATAATTTTGGAAACACAACATTAGGCAAAGAATGCAAACATCAATGAAAATGATGGCAACCAATACACATCTTTCATTAATAACTTTAAATATTAACGGACTTTACTACCCAGTCAAAAGATACAGATTAGTTGAATGGATTAAGAAATAAAACCCATCTTTTTGTTGTCCACAAGAAACTCATCTCGCTTTCAAGGACAGACACTACCTTAAAGTGAAAGGATGGGGAAAAAATATATCAAGTGAATGATACTAAGAAAAAAGCAGGCATTGCAATTCTGATATCTCACAAAATAGACTTTAAACTAAAACTAATCAGAAGAGATAAAGAGGGTCACTTCATTCTGATCAAAGGAACAATAAACCAAGAAGACAATACAATCATGAACATATATTCACCAAACTCTGGTGGACCCAACTTCATAAAAACAGTACTACAGGGCTTAAGACCCAGATTAATCCCAATTCATTAATAGTAAGGGACTGCAATACCCCACTGTCTCCATTAGATAGGTCAACAAGACATAGTTAACAGAGAGACATCTGAATTAAACAATACCATACATCAAGTGGACCTAACAGACATCTACCAAGTATTCTACCCAAGCACCAAAAGAATATACTTTCTATTCAGCAACCCCATGGAACCTTCTCCACAGTTGACCATATACTGAGGCACAAAACAAGCCTCAACAAATACAAAAAGATTGAAATAATTCCATGCATTCTATCAGACCACAATGCATTAAAGCTTAAAATCAACACCAGAAGAAGCCCTAATCACCACATGAACACATGGACACTAAACAACACACTCTTGAATGATGAAGGGGTCAAAAGAGAAATTAAGAAAGAAATAAAAGTATTCCTGGAAGTAAATGAAAAGGACAATACAGCACAACAAAACCTCTGGGACACGCTGAAAGCTGTCCTTAGAGGGAAGTGCCTACATTAAAAAATCGGAAAGAACACAAATAAATGATGTAACATTGCACTCAAGATACTTAAAAAGCAACAAGAAATGAAACCTAAATCCATCAGACAAGAAGAAATAAAAATCAGAGCAGAAATTAATGAAATAGAGACAAAGAAAACAATACAAAGAATCAACGAATCCAA